TAAACTTTGTACATAATAGTTTTTTGCCTTTTGTTTCATAATAAATTTTATTTATATAACCCTTTTGCTGATTTTTAAAGTGTTACATAAACAGGACAGGTGAAATATTATCATGTAAAGCAACCATAAACACGTGAAAAGACCTAGGTTTACAATTTATGATTAAAACTCTACTATCTACACAATATACATAGACATAAAATGTAAAAACTTAAATATCTTAGAAACAGTAGCCAATCAGTTCTTTTAATTGTCATATTTGAATTCAGCACATCAAAATACATAATAAATAGCACATTTTATCTCTGAAGCAGACGACTTCTCAAAAATTGTAGACCAGTGTTATCAGTGTAGAATGTAAGCGTGGCTGCAAGGATGTGCCGGCGCCTTCTAATGCCCAGAAGCAGGATTGTTTGGAGAGAGAGTCACTTGCAGTGTGTCCTACTGAGAACCAGAGCAATAAGGAGGATCCTGATAATGAGTGAGCTGCTGTTTCCAGGTGAGCCTGAAATGGACACTGGGTGTGAGTGGAAACGCAAGGAATTAAGTTTTCCCTTCAGGTTCTTCTTGCTTCTGGGATTGGTGGGTATTATTAGGAAGGAGACTTCGTGGATCCATTAAAAGATTTTAAAACTTGCTAAATGATAGATCTCAAAGCATAATTATTGACAAAGACTCATTATGATGTGTTTCCTCCCCCCTCGGGGTGCCACGTGGATCTGGGGTACCACTGAGCCCCCCAACCCACCAGCCTGGGCTCCCACTCACCTTGTAATGCTGTGACAAGCTGCAGACAGGCTCCCAGTCTCACACTTTCACCAGCATACAGGTCGCGCCACACCCGGCTGCAGCTACACACAGATGCTGAGATCAGCTGTACACGGGAAGGCTCAGCTAAGGAACTGCCCAGTTACTCAAGTTCACACCCCCTTTGAAAGGTAAACCCAAAATTATACTGTCTTGCACTGCACAGGGAACTGTACAGCACAAGCTCATGAAATTCATCCCCTCCCTCAATGTGGAGAGGAATATACACAGCTTTCTGCCCCAAGTTATGATTTCCACACACACCGGTTTTTGATAGAGCAAAAGCAAAATTTTTAACTACAAAAGATAGATTTTAAGTGATTATACGGGATAGCAAACAGATGAAAGCAGATTACCCAGAAAATAAAACAGAAATGCAATCTAAGATTACTATACTAAAGAAATCAGATATGAGTGGCAAATCCTCGCCCTGTTTGTTGGTTTAGGCAGTTTGCAGAGATTCTTGGGGGCAAGCTGCACTTGCTTGCAGCTTAAAACCCCAGTTATACCTTTCACAGGCTAGAAATCCCTCTAGCCTGGGTTCAGCCCATCTCCCTCAGTTCAGTCCTCGTTTCTCAGGTGTTTCCAACAATCTTCTTGGGTGGGGAGTCAATGAAGAAGAACCACAATGATGTCACCCCCTGCCTTAAATAACTTTGGCATATGGCGGGAACCCTTTGTTTCCAACTTTTAGTTCCCACACCTTTCAGTGGAAAATCACTACTATTCTATGATGGAGTCAAGTATCAGGTGACTTGGTCACAGGTCTCTGTAGGACCACAGCAGCCATGACTCGGAGGCCATTTGTAGTGTCCTCAGGAAGGCTCCCTGGTGGGAGATTAGCATCTTCTAAGACCTATTGTTCTCCCTAATGGCCCTTCCCAACCAGCCATCTAGACCCATTGCGTTCTGTCTAGTGGGTGTTCCCCAGGTGGAAACACATTTGTAATAGATGAATAGACAATATTCCTAACTTCAGATACCAAAATGATACATGAATACAAAGAGGATATTCATATTCAGTAAATCATTACCTTTTCACATGACCTATCTTGGATAAAGTACACCACAGACTGGGGGAGTCTGGCCCCAGGCCCGCCCCTTCCGTCTGAGGCCCTGCCCCTTTTGGGGGACCAGAGCCGCCCTCCCCCACCTTGCCCAGAACCCTGGCCGCCCTACATACTGGTGTCGGAGAAAAACAGAGTTCTCACTATTTGTTTAGGTATAGCAAGTCAGATGCTTTATTAACTCTCACAAGTTAAGAGGTCTGTCTGGTAAGTCTGTTAAGTTACTTTCACCCCTGCTTCCAGGCACTAGAATACACCAATAGCCAGGAGGGTCCCTAGGGAAATTGGACATAGGAAAGAATGCTCAGCTTTGAAGAGACCAGCACTCTGGTCTGGGGAACAGGTCTCTGCCACAGAATGTGCTTAAAATCATACTAAAGGTCCAGAGAAAAGACACAAGGAAGAAACTTAAAAAAGCAGAACCCGGCTACTGTGCACATGATTTTCCTGGTGCAGCAGATCTATACTAGGAGTTTGTATGATGCCAACTCCTGTGATTTTAATCACAAGTGTCCTGATATTTAGTGCTTGTCTTTAAGCACCCAGCTCCTGGAACCACGTGATTACCAGAGAATCTCAGCTTTGCTTTCAAAGAAAAGTATGTTTCTAGTCCTTATGGCTGCGGAGAAAAGTTTGAAACCATCACAGAAGTGCCCCATAAAGGTCCTAAGCCAGAAGACAAATACAAAGATCCCAAAAGCTGTTGTTTTTTAAAAAATCATGTGATTTTTGAATGCTTGAAGTTGGCAGTCCTTGGTTTGCACCAGTTCAGCTCTAATCTCTGTAGCTATGTCCGCTGCTAAACTGCAGCGTAGACAAAGTCTTAGCATGGCACTCAGAAAAACCTTTCAGAAACCTTCAAATTATGGGAACTCCATTTCTCCCTATGATATGACATTTCCTTTAATCATGCTTCTCCTTTTTAAAAATAGAAGAAAACATCAGTCACCGGAGAATGCAGGTTGGGCAACTTCTTTCTACAGTGAAAAAGCAGCCTTTTCAAAGGGAAGTGGGGCAGCTGACACATCTAGAAACTTGACATTATAGAACTGGTCAGTGAGGCTTGGGGTTTCATTTCCAACTCTCACAAAAGGAAGAGGTCCCTGCGATCTCCTGGAGAACCCAGATCTACCAGAGGCGAGATTCACCCGCTGAGGGAACCAGGACCATGAGGATTTTCTCTGTTTTGCTTTGGATTCTTTTCCCAGGTGAGAATGACATGGTCTTTTTGTGGATCACTAGAAATACAATGCAAGTATTGGGTTTGAACAGGGTTTGCCAGCTTCACCAACAGAGTTTGAAAGTCTCAGCTCTGCTCTTGCTGTGGTTCTAACTCACAGGGGAGATGGAACTTACAAAGTGGGCAGGACAGTAAAGATTTCAGCACAGAATCTGTGTCCGTGTCTGCGGAGACAGTTTTCTATGAAGACAAAGCAAGGAAAATTTCATCTGAAAAGGAGAATTTTTCAGAAAGTTCTCAGCACAGCTGGACAAAGAACAGAAAACAATATTCATTACAATTATTTGATGAAAACATTGCCAGCATTTGGAACAATATTATTTGCAACAAATACTGAGGTTAAGAATGTAGCCAGATTCTAAAAGGGATTGGAGATTTACATAGATATTGAGAATATCCAGAGTTATCATAAAAACAGCAGGAGTACTTGTGGCACCTAAGAGACTAACAAATTTATCAGACCAGTTATCATAATTAGCGTCAACCAAAATTTTTGATGAGAAATCAAAGCACACACTTCTGGGCTTAAGGCGATGTCTAGCTATTAGAGATCAGGAAGAGACCGAGGAGGAGGGGGGTGGGGGAAGAAAGAGATTGTCCGACATCTGCATACTGCAGGATTCTTACACGTTTCTCTAAAGCACGTGGCTCTGGCCACTGTTGGAGACAGAATACTGGATGTTGAGTCTCATCCAGTCTGGTTATTCCAATGTTCCTATAAGATGAATTCTAGCCATGAACATATGAAAACAGAAAGCTATAATAAATGTGATGTTGTAACCTTGACCATATGGGACACTACCCATGTGATAGTTATAACTAATTCTATAGGGTGTGATTATTTCTATCTATAGAAAATTGCTTTCATCACTGTACAGTCTGAGCATCTTTCAAAGAATGTTTGCAAAAGTGCACCAAATAGTACAGTCTGGAACTTTTCAGATTTTCTATGAGGCAACATCACACTCAAGATATGTTCCGCAGTAGGTGTGACATCCCAACCTGGTGCATTTTGGTGCATCACATTATAGTAGGAACTGGCCAAATCAGTGTGTAGGTAATAGTGCACTGCTTCCCCCTGCCTGGTTATTGGGGACATTCAACACCAGTGGCTAAATATCCTGGTTTATGATCATTTATCTGTGTAGTACACACACACACACACACAGGAATAGTTATTGAAAAGGCCTATAGCCAGAAAAGGTCCTTAAAGAGATAAGAGCTGGGAAAGATTGATCAGTCACTCATGAGACAAGGCCTCTGGTTTGGGGAACAGGCCTTCACCACAATATGAAGCTAAGAACAAACTGTAGCTCCAGGGTAAGGGCCACCAGGAGTGAGCTCAAGGGAGCAAACCCCTAATGTAGACACGGTTTGCACTGGTGCACACTCTCTATATTAGGTGATTGCAGTTTTACGATTTCTTCTGGTTTTATTGCAATTCCCTCAATAGTTGGTGTTTTTTCTTAACACTCCAGCTCCTAGATACCTGTGATTTGGGGAGAGTTGGAACTAGCGAGGGGAATTAAAAGCAATAGTAAGAGGTTTTACAGCCACATAAATAGGAAGAGAGCAAAGAAAGAAGAAGTGGGACCGCTGAAATCTATTGCCGGAGAGGAGATTAAAGACAATCTAGGCATGGCGCAATATCTTAATGAATATTTTGCATCGGTGTTTAATGAGGCCAATGAAGGTATTAGGGATACTAGCACCACTATAGAGCGGCATTCGGGATGGGGGATTACCGTATCCGAGGTGGAAACAAAACTTGAACGCCTTAATGGGGCTAAGTCGGGAGGACCGGACGATCTACATCCGAGAATATTGAAGGAATTGGCGCGGGAAATAGCAGGCCCATTAGCGATAATATTTAATGAATCTGTAAACTCGGGGGTGGTCCGGTTAGACTGGAGAATAGCTAATGTGGTTCCTATTTTCAAGAAAGGGAAAAAAAGTGATCCGGGTAACTACAGGCCTGTTAGTCTAACATCAATTGTTTGCAATGCGATAGATACTGGTATATATATATGATAGAGAGAGAACGGCTGTCAAGCGA